AAAGAAATAAACAATTATGAATATATTTGAAATTCATGATGACTAACCATGAATAAACAATCGGTCCTGCTTCATTGTCATTTCTTCCTTGAAGCCCTGGTGAAGAAAATTTAAATTGTAAATGTTTACAAAAAAAAATAATAACTTCACCAAAAAGAACAAATAGTTTTTAAAAAATATATTAAAAAAGTTATACACAACTAACCATGACCAACGTGACCAATATTTGAAAAACTTGCATTTGTTTGAATGTTACATATTCTTTGAAACTTAGTAGTCAGAGCTAATTGTCGTACATATGTCAGTCTTCTTCTGCTGTGAAAATTTGCATTTGTGGAATCTTGAAAGGTTATGTTTGACAAATTATTTAATATCTCCGTGGTTGTACACATATGTGAATTAGTTGGATGAGTTGTTGAACATGATGTATGTACTTAATTTTGTTATTGTCTCCTTTATTGGTAATTTCTACGTTGCCTAAACAATTGTTGTTGTCTTTGATCCATGTTCATTCGAATCCTTTTATTTCTATAGTTTTGTCTCCATCTTTCTCATTGTTATTCTTGTGGTTGACCATTTGAATTTGACATATTGTTATATAGTTATCTGTCAAATAGTATTTGTGGACAATTATATATTGAATTCTTATTAAGAAATAAATAAATAAATGTAATAATCAGTATTATTAAATTTTAAATAAATGGTGAAACTATTATTTTGTTAAAGAGACAAAGTGTATGTTTCCATATAGTACAAAATAAGTACAATATTAATTTTAAATTTGAAGATAAAATTCATATAGAGTCACGAATTTCCTAGGCCCCACAAATATATATATTAGTAGAAAAATAAATATGACTATAAAGAGTTGAAAAGTAATAAATTAATAAAATTACATTAAGGAGAATCCTAAATAATGGGATTGCAACAAAAACTAATTTGAAAAAAAGAGGCATCATTCATTCAGACCAACAAAAAAGGTGCGTTCTTTGCAACAAGCAAACAGAATCCATTGACCATTTGTTTTTTACGTGTAGCGCCTCCTATCTACTTTGGCAGCTTTGTTACAATTGGTTTAGGATACAAACAGTACTCCCAGAACAAGGCAAACAACACTTTACCAATCATATAGTGCTTTGGAATAAGAAAAAAATAACCAAAATATGGAATACGATCTGGTTTATCATGATTTGGAATATCTGGTAGTGGAGAAACGACTAGATTTTCAACAATAAAAAGGAAGATATAAATGACATTTTGGAGATGGTGCAAATTAGAGTCTGGCACTGCCTCAAAGCAAAATGTAAAGGATTCACTTTCTCTATCCACGATTGGTGTTCAAATCTTATTCCATGCTTTGATTCTCTTAAAGACTGTTAATTGTACTACGACTAAGGCACTTTAATTTTGTTAATGTAGAAGGTCCTCTTTGATTATAACTATGGAGGTACAAGCTAAGTAATCCATAGTAGGTTATTATTTAGGCTTGCTTTGTGACTTTTTACATATGTAATTGAGTACCTCTGGTGCTTCCATATTATATATAATACTTATTACTTGGCTGATAAAAAAAATTATATCTTAAAACATAAATATAAAGAAAGAAACGAATACATTGTGCATAGAATCTCCAGTACAATAAAAGGCTCTTACTAAATCATATACATAGCAGTTTTTCTAAACTTCTAACTAATTCTTTTCTTCGTTGCTTAAGAACCTAATAATCAGCATCAGCAATCGCATGAGTCGTAAAATAGGAATTTAGTCCACTTGTAGGTCCAATTCCATTTTCGCATAAAGAACAACTTACAAAAGAAAGCACGGATATGACATATGGAGTGAGATTATATACTTTTGTCCTCATCTATTCTATGGAACGAGTTGAGAACTTGTCTCACTTTAACACACATCACATATAAACATACAGAGAAAAATCGAAAAGTTTAACTATATTATCAAAAACTCAATGTGATTCTCTAAAACAACCCTAACTGGATTCTGAAGGCTTTTTCTTCTCAACCTTTGCACATCACAATCAGATTTGGGTTCACAAGGTTTTCCCCCCTCAACGTTAATTCATTCGTATTCATACTCATTGTTGACCAACTATCAACCATCTAACACAACCTTTGGGAAGTTATAAGGAGTAAATGTATTTCTAATCCAAACAATGTTTGGAGTGTTTTGACCGATTGAAATATTATATTAATTGACTGATTGTAAAAAAAAAATGTGAAATCATGAAGTTGGGTCTATGACCTTTATGTTTCATATGTTATGAATTGCGAATTGAATGTGTATGATGTTTTATAATTTCCTAGTATGGTTTATATGCTATTCTAATGTATATGACTATGGTAAGTTCCTTGTATGAAACTATGTAAATATGATGTGAAAATGTGAAAAGTGAACATGTGACATGTGACATGATAATATGAGATAACATGATATGGGATGAGAATCTGTGACAAGTGAAATGATGAGTCAATGAAGTATGAATGTGTAACATGCATCATATGCATCTATGTGACGGGTACGATGTGGAGTACATCATTAGGGAAGACCCTCCTTGCATAATAACTTGGGAGAGTCATAGGGGATAGTGCAATTTGAATATCTCAATTTCGCCCGTTTGTGAGCACGAGATGTAACTTGAGCAGCTTTGCTATCTTGACTAGGCCCTAGCAGTACATCCTTCTAGTTGAGAGTGTATGGGTAGCTCCCTACATGTACTCCTAGATTACCTTAGGTGTGTTGTTTAGGCAGCACACTAGTGATATGTGACTGGCCCCACATGCATGCATTTATGAGTCGAGTCCATGACATCATTACATGATGAATGACTGTGTATGTGTAACTTGAATTTGCACCTGGTTAATGTATAGATATGACTATACTTATTATGATTTATGTGTGTGTTGCCTGACTGTTATTTTTACACCTAAACTTGAGTGAGATGTTTCTCACTCCCCTGTTTGCTCTATGTGTGTCTTATTGTGTTGTAGGTGATCATCAATATAAGGATGTTGGTGATGAGACTTAGACCTTATTATTGGGTGTGCTATGATAGGACATATGATATCAAGGCTTAGTTAGGATTAATTTTAGGAAATCATTGTCTTTTGTTCATTTTGGAAAACTTGACTTTAATTCTTTGTAATTCCACATTTGAGATTTGACTTATGAATTATGGATGTGAACCTTTTACTCCTTTGTTATTTGAAACAACTATTTTAACTATGAAAGTTTTCATTATTCAGAATATTATATGTTATATTATTGTATATTTGTGTTGGGTAGAGGGTGTCACAGAGATAAATGAAAAGTACTTTGGTGTGCCATGGTCTGGTGTATTTAAAGACACAGGAATGCATCTTTACATAAAAGTCAACTTTTTGACTCTAACAAAAGTAGTGCATGACGTTTTGTATTTTTTTTTCATGAGCTTGGCTAAAGAAACTGACAAAGGACTTTACATACTCTTTTAGTCAATAGTAAAACTCTCCTAGAACTTGCTTATGTGATTGAAACATATTTTATTAGATTTTTTTTGGAAGAGTTGATATTTCTTATTTATCATTTATTAGAGTGTATTAATTACCTTTGTACTTCGGGATATTTCTAGTACTTATTAATAAATTTCTTTTACGGACAAAAAAGAAACTCTAGTTAATTCTGTGCTATCACAATAAAGCCTATAAATTAGATAATTATGGTAATAAAGAATTTTTTAAATTAAGGCAATAAAATTATTTTTACAAGAATAATTTAATTAATTAATAATTTATTATTTTATATAAATAAGATAATTATATATAATTTACTTCTATGATTGAATTTTAATTCTTAATATATTAAGAATAGTAATTTTTATTACATTTCATATCGTTTTTACTTTTTAATTTGTTAATTTATTTTTAATAATTGTATATAAGATAATTATATTTAATTTTGTCTAGAAAAATTTAATATATTAAAAGTAATTTATTTGTGTTTAAGTAAATTATAAAAAAAAATTATCCCAAAATTAATAATGTTTCTTTAGAATATAATGGTAAACGTAAATTTTCATAATTTATTATTAAAATAAAAAAGATTATAAAAATTATATAAAATTATCTTATTTATATAAAATAATAAATATATTACTTAATTAAATTATGTACATAAAAAATAATTTTAATTATTATAGTTTAAAATATTATCCGTTATGCTAATTATTTTAATTAATATTTTTATTCTGTTTAAAACTTAAATTAACTAAAGTTAGTGATAAGGATTAAAATAATAATAAAAAATGTTAAAGATGTAAAAATGATAAATATTTTTGTAAGAACTAAAACATGATCGAAGGATATTTGTAATGGCTTGAAACATATTTAAGTTTAATTTTTTTTTGTTTAATAAGTTTTTTTTGTTCTTCCAATACTTTCATCAAATTTACATTTTAATTTATATTATTAAAAATTTTCTATTTTAATTCATATAAATTATTTTTGTTTTTCTAGTTCTTATAGTTTCATACATTTTATCTTTGAATCCTTATCTTTATAGAGCTTAAAATAAAATATTTTAATTACAATAATTAAAAATAAAACTATAAAAAAATTAAAATATAATTTAATCATATTATTTTAACCAATCAATCACTTCTATTTTTAAATGTTAAATAACTAATATCAAAATTAATAGAAAACCAAGCTATACAATGACAATATGATATAAAGAAAATTAAAAATAGCAAAAAAAATCATCTAATTTACAACACCTCGATTATTTGTATGAAACTAGGCTAATATCTTCATTTGATGTTTCATATTCAAGTTTATAGATAAGAAAAATATAATTAAAATTAGAAGAAGAAACCACATAAAGATGATGATCAGCAAAGTTTTTTATTTTTTTTTTTCGTGGAAATTAATCACCCATATGAATGAAGTAGATAAAGATAACATTTTGCTTTTAATAATCACAGCTTATACTCGATCCACGTTGGATAGAGACAGACTCAAACACAGACCAGATCTTATCTGCTTCGTATTATTTATTTTCGTAACCAAACAACGTAATTCTGGTTACAGTGAAAAAATAATTGCACGACCCACAGTTAAGCATTGTTCGATTCATATTGGTTTGACAAATTTTACAATTTATAAGTATTTTACCACTAAAGAAAACAATTTTTCATTCATGGTTCAGATTTTACCCCCAATGGCCCAATAAATGTTTCTCTTTCTCCCCTTAATTTTAATTTAATGTTGTACTATTCATTTTGTGTTCTCATACATGCAATCCGCAGAGGAAGGGAAGAAAGTTTGGTGCTTTTAGGCATACCCAAGTACCCCTCTAGCTGCACGTCCAAGACTCAGAAGTTGAAAGAGAGGAGAGAAGAGTTTGATCAAATTCAGGTTCAAAAGGGTCAATTGTGGCACCAAGTTTCTCACATATAATCATGTTGACCAAGTTTGGAAGATGGGTCTCTTTGGTTCCCAAGAGGGGATTTTCCACCTCCACCAGCTTTCAAAAGGGTGCTTCTGAGGAAGGAGTGAAATCAATGAACCTGTGTTCTGCAATCAATCAGGCTCTCCACATTGCCTTGGACACTGATCCACGGTGGGTCTCTCTATTTTGCTTGTTTGAGATGTATCTAGTGAGAGGGTGATAAGAGTAAATATTGAGCATATATCCTTGCACTAATGATCACTATTGTTTTAGTTAGTTTTAATCTTAATCATATATTTCAATTGTATTGTTCAAATTCACTCCTGACAGGGTCTCATATGGTGTCATTCAACTTATTTGATTCCTATAATTATTTATTTATCCTTATCCTATATGTGAAAAGCCTTCTGACCATAACTACGGTCAAAGTATTACGAACCAAATTAGCCTTTAATCTAGTGAGCTGGAGATATCGGTGGCAAAACCAAAATGACCCGCACAAAACTTGGAAATCTTATTCCCTTTCAATATATTTGTTTTTATCAGTTTTGATTAATGACTGTTTCAAACTGTGTTGAGTTGTTGTCTTTGGTTTTTACTTTTTACCTTGCCTGCTGGATTTATTTATTTTTTTTTTATCATAAGTTACTGTAACTTATAAATCAAATCAAGTGATGAAATGGTTTGGAAGATGTACTTTAGTTTTTGGCATTTTGCAATTTTGGTGTGTATCATTTGCATGTTTTTCCTGCTAGTCTCAAAGGAGATTGAAAGTTCCAACCGTGGAATCACAGAAAAAAAAAAGTTAGTGGTAGATTGAGGAGGGAAGAAACAATGGATTTTAATATCTAACATCATTTCAAGAAACAGTAAATTCCCTCAGTTTTTTATTTTGAATTTTACTTTTTTGTTCAAAAGTTGTATTTTAGATTATCTAGGTTCTATATCAATAGAGAAGGCTACAAATAGTTGCTGGCAACTCCCAAGTCTCAAATCCCTTGTGTAGAACAATTTTGTGATATTAATGGAATTGTGAATGGTAGCATAAACCAAACTTTGTTCACAAAGGTTGTCGTTGGAAGCTTTGTATTTCAGAACCCAAGTAAACAAACTCTATTGAAGTATTATTCAGATATTATATATCTCAACGGAGCCTTGGCATGTTTGAAAAATTGTATGATTCTGTTTCTTTTAATATTAATTCAATTGACAAACTGGGTTTCTGTGTTACTTGTCTCACTTTAACGGTCTATCAGTTGCACTATTATGTGTTTTGTACATGCTTATCTTCTCTTGCACATCATCACAGTTCTTACGTTTTTGGAGAGGATGTAAGCTTTGGTGGGGTTTTCCGTTGCACAAATGGATTAGCAGACCAATTTGGTAAAAAGAGGGTTTTCAATACTCCTCTCTGTGAGCAGGTATTTATTTTTATGTATTTCACATTGCCTTTGTGCTTCCTCTTTTCTTTCTCTTATCCTATCTCCCGTGTAAATAGATATACTTAAGAAGCACAATTAAAATATGGTTCTAATATCACAGAAATATATAATTCTAACATCCAAGAGAAGACAAAAGATCATTTTCTATTCTAGAAAGGGGAAAAAAGCATTAAAATAACATTTTTAGAACATGGTCTGATGGATTCTTCCAATGAAAATGTATCCAAGGAATTTGATTTAGCATTTCACTGTATATCTTATTTTTACACCAAGTATCTTTCTAATTATTTCTGTAATTTGTATATCCAAAGATTTGACTTAAAAAATTTACGCCGAAATGCTACTCACAGGGTATCGTTGGTTTTGGCATTGGTCTAGCAGCTATGGTGAGTCTCTGAGGTTGAAATAACTCATTTCCAGCTTTACCATCAAACCTTACTGCAGTTTAATATATTTAAGCAATTTGTATATTTTATCTGGCAGGGAAATCAAGCCATAGCAGAAATCCAGTTTGCAGATTACATTTTCCCTGCCTTCGATCAGGCAAGTTCCCATCCCATTGCTTGATTTAGTCAAAACCGCTTTTGATCAGTAACTGACCAATTTTGTTTCCAGATTGTCAATGAAGCTGCTAAATTCAGATACCGGAGTGGGAACCAATTTAATTGTGGTGGTAAATTTCTTTCACGGCTTTAGTGTTAAAGTTTGGCTTATCTCTATTTCCACTCTTTGCATTAAAGATTTGAACACATTTTTATAGGTTTAACAATTAGAACCCCTTATGGAGCTGTGGGCCATGGTGGGCATTATCACTCTCAGTCCCCTGAGGCTTTCTTCTGTCATGTTCCTGGTATCAAAGTATGGTGCTTTCAAATGAACTTCAGTGTGTTAGTTAGAACCTTGTCTTTCTTTCTATACTTCTATTTCTTGTCCCTGCTTTTCTATGCAATGTAGTGTTTGATAGTTCAATTGACTATAAAAATGTTCAAATTCTAAACCTAAGATAGTATGGAAAGAATTAAAATCGTGCATCATAAATGGCTGACTCATCCAATTAAGATTATCAATGTGAGAGGATTAGTAATAGCATTAAATTATTGCAAAAATGTTGTAGTCTAAGTTCTTAGATTTCCATAACATCTGAAAAGATGGAAGTTGGTTATGCATAAGTACATACATATTGAAGTGGGTTGTTCTTTCATTTGTAACAGGTTGGGTGCATATAATGTATATATTTAGACTAGGTTTTCTAGAATTTGTCAGGTTGAAGTAGAATAGTATACTTTATCCAGTCAAGCCCAATAGGACCACAAGTCATGGTCTATAATGGTCTTGTACCTTTACTTATTGAATAACTAGCACTTGTGTACATCGTTCCTTTCCCTTTTATTTCCATAGATTTGGATAATTTTTCTGAATTTTTAGGCTGTCTTGGGATTGCATGAGAATTGTAGGACATCACTCATCTTGCAGGAAAACCAAATTTCTTTTAACTTTCTGTCTATTTTACATAATTAAAATTTTCCCAAATGCCTCAATAGAGTTTCTTTTATAGGTGGTCATCCCTCGAAGTCCAAGACAAGCAAAAGGGTTATTACTATCTTGCATCCGAGATCCAAATCCTATAGTATTTTTTGAACCAAAGGTTGTATTCTACCAAAATTACCTTTATGAATAATGTGAATAGTATGCCACTTTTGCAATTTTAACCATGTTAATTCTTGGTTTCAGTGGCTTTATCGTTTGGCTGTTGAAGAAGTACCGGAGGATGATTACATGTTGCCTTTATCTGAGGCTGAGGTACACAAGTCACTAAATAAAAAAATAAAAAAGGAATAGAAGTTCTGCATAACACTATTGATACTATTCCTGAAACAGTTATTCTGATGAATATTTAAATGTGTATTCAGGTGATTCGGCAAGGAAGTGATATAACACTTGTTGGATGGGGAGCTCAATTATCTACAATGGAACAAGCTTGTCTTGATGCTGAAAAAGTAAGTGGCTGTTGCATTGCAACTGAAAGCTCTTAAAACATGTATTCTGCATCACACCATATTTTTGTTTGCTTTTGGTTATGGTGGGCAAGTCATAGCTGGAGAATTTCTCTTGATGCAACCTAATACACTTGGTATATAGAGTCTGTTTTTCCACAAAGGAACGGAATTTGGTTGGAATTTAATTAGCATTGATTGTGTTAGAAATGGAAGGGAAATGTTTGGTTCCTTTGTTTGATGTAGGAAATTAGGCAAAATGGAATTGAGACTTGCTGTCAAATAGCATAAAAAAACATTATTAATCACATGTAAATTATGTGTAATGGTTAATCACGTCAAATGATTTTGGAAGATTGAACCATGAAAAAAAATAAAGGGGGTAAAAAGGCAACAAATGATGAGTGCATCATTTTATGTCATGTCAAGGTGAAATTGTTGTTTAATGCAGCTGAGTAGGACGTCAATTTAAATTGGGGGTATTCTATATTTTTCACAAATACACTGAGGGAAAGCAGGAAAGTGATTTATTCTGCTCCAGCATGCATGGAATCCATCGTCAGTTCCTGAGTAAATTGCGATTGTGTAATGTGCCTTGGATTAGAACAATCATCTTAGCTATTTTTCTACCATGCCAAATATAAGAATCATCATATCCATTATATGAACCCAAAATGCAGCTGTCAATGTTACATACCAATACTATTTATGATGAGGTTTGAGTTAAAGAGTAATTTATTGTACTACCTCTGGTCTTAACTCCTTCACAAGAATTAAGAAATTTAATTTAATTATTGGTATTAAATTTGTCAATAGTTTGTATAATCTTTCTAGAATTACCCTTAAAACTATTGGGATTTCATTCTCTTAATCTCTTTCCCCACCTTATTAATTAATGCATCTCCAATTAAGGGTATTTTTGTAAGAAAAAACAATTAATGCATTAGATAAGTTGAAGGGAATCTTATAAAAAGAACAAGACAAACTTCCCAAAATGGTTCATTTAAAAAGGATCAATGGTAGTATTGCACTTAGACCTAATGCTTTAGTATAACTACTTATATAGGGAGTCTAACTAAAACTAGTAAGAGCATCCCATTCTTTGGTTCTACTCTCTTATTTTTCTAATGACTTGATTAGTAAGTTCATATCTTTTAAACTACTTGGGTGTCAATTATTTATAAATACTCAAGAAGAAAGTTGTTCTGTTCTGTAAAAGAAAGTTTGACATTACAATTTCCCATTTCTACGATAATATATTACGTGTACATAAGGAATTCAATTTATAAGTGGAAGTCTAGACTTTTATTTCTACTGTAATTCTAAAGTTATTATGATATTCTGCAGGAGGGAATTTCTTGTGAACTGATTGATCTGAAGACACTAATTCCTTGGGATAAGGAGACAGTAGAGGCCTCAGTTAAGAAGACAGGAAGATTGCTTGTGAGTATGTAGTTTATAGAATAATACTTTAACCCAGTTTGGTATTTCCTTCCTTACATGATACATTAAATATTTGAATGTACTTTGTAGGTTAGTCATGAAGCTCCTATAACTGGAGGTTTTGGTGCTGAAATTTCAGCTTCCATTGTTGAACGCTGCTTCTCAAGGGTATGTTCCTGCCTTTATTAGTTCCTCTTAACTTCATGTACAAATGATCATTAGGTCAATAGGGCATAGTTTCCAACAGGCCTGGAAACAGATTTTTGTTTCTATTTCCACCTGTGTCTCTTATAGTTAAAAAGTAATAATACCGCTTACAGCAATTCATACAACAATTTATACATTTTTTTTTGTCTCTCTCTCCATTATTTATAAATGTAATAAATGATGTAATGGAGAGGGATAGACAAAAAAAAATGATGTACAATTTGTTGTACAAGTATCATTTTCCATAATTAAATAGCCAAATATATATTTGATACATACCATCACGACTTTCTAACATGACATCACATATTCACATTTGAGAAGATCTAAGGATTTTCCTTCCTTAGTTTACTCTCATCAAAGGGTGATGTTCATCTTCATTAATCTCCACAAACTTTCAAGAAAAAGTCTCAAAATTCACCGGTCAAACTGGAAAAGCAACAAACAACCTTTAACCAGAGTTGAGAAATGTAGTCACTAAAGGATAGAACGCACAGCAAGAAACATCTTAACAAAAAAGAAAAACCTAGAGCATCAAGCCTCCGAAATGTACAATTTTGGTGTAAAACTCTGCATACTTTTGATTTGATGAAAACATCAACAAAATGTTTATATATATATATGCCTTCAAAATTAACCAAACTCAATGAGGACATGTCTTAAGCCTGTCTTTCTCTTTTGTGGCACAGTTAGAGGCACCTGTGGCAAGAGTTTGTGGTCTGGACACTCCTTTTCCTTTGGTTTTTGAACCTTTCTACATGCCAACCAAAAACAAGGTAACTTGTTAGTTTAACTCAATTATTCTTCTCTTTTATATGCATCATGTTTAACAAGTGTCTTGACTGATGCAAGCTTGTCACTCATTCAATGCAGATATTGGATGCAATTAAATCAACTGTGAACTACTAATAGCTTACTCACCATTTTTTGGCCATGAATATGATCTTGATGCCATCATCAAAGTAATTGTGGTCATGACTATTGAAGGGACTCCCATTAGTAAATAAATCTTCTATGATAGATGGATGTTTTAATTGTCAAGTTGATGACTCAAATAAAACACTCGTAGAGGTGGGGGGCAAGAGTCAATGTGTGGAATTTGACAATGTCATTAAATGTATTGTCTCATTTAAAAATTCACATGATCAAACACCAAATAATACAACTGGTGACAAACTTACAGTTAGTGTTCATTGATGGTTGGATGTGTACTTGAATAATGGATGCGCTCAATATTTTTTGGCCCTTTGTTATGTGGAAATTTGATATTTTTGGTTTATAGACATAATGCATATAGTATTTCAAAACTAACAATTAAATATTAATGTGTTTATAGGATGTGAGTTTTATTGATCAGGTATTATTTTAACAACTCATGAGAATCAATCTTGGGAGTCCTAGACTCGTCCTGTCTAAAAGCAGGTCTGTTTTGATATGAACTCAAAGAATCATGATATATAAGCTAACCATCACAATCAGAGAGATGTTGATGGAAGAGCATAGACTGAGGGTTCAACTACTAGAGCTATGATCAGGAGATTACAGGAAAACTTGACTTAAAACAAATCCTAAAAGTTTTTAAGAAGGAAAAAAAATACTTGGGTTATAACTTAAAAATGTTTGCGTAAAGAATACTTGGACATCTATTGTATTATATAATTATTATAGTACAAAAAATTATTGTGACTTAGGTCTTGGTGGTTTGAGATTAAATTAGGATAAATTATGATTGAACTTAGCTCTTGGGGGCTTAACACTAAATTAGGATAAATTAGAATTGAACTTGGCTCTTGTTGGGTTGAGACTAAATTAAGATTGGACTTAGCTCTCGATAGTTCGAGACTAAATTAGGATTGGACTTAGTGATGTGGACATACTTTTATAATTGTTTTCAAGTATGCTTTTATTAAACTTATAATCAAAAACATCTTAACCTTAGAAATTCCTTTCTAAACTTCAAATAGTTAAATTGTGTTCTTTTTAAAATTCTCTTAAATGATTCTTTGGGTAACAAAAGTTTTGTTTTTGCAAAATATATATATATATATATATATATATATATATATATATATAAA